CGCCTACACAGCCCAGATAGACAACCTCCTGGCGAAGGGATACGCAAGGGAAGCCGAGGGGACAGAGCGAGAGGATCCCAAGAGCTGGTACCTGCCACACTTCGCAGTACGGAATCCGAACAAGCCGGGGAAGACGAGATTAGTGTTCGACGCGGCAGCGCGTGCATCCGGCAGATGCCTTAACGATTATTTGCTCGACGGCCCCGACTTATTACGGAACCTACCGGGCATACTGTTTCGATTTAGGGAAAACGAGATAGCGGTGTCCGCGGATATTAGGGAGATGTTCTTGCGTGTAAAGATCGACCATCGCGACCAGCCCGCGCAGTTGTTTCTTTGGCGAGGAGACGAGCGACACAGCCCACCGCGGGAGTACGTTATGACATCAATGATTTTCGGTGCGAGGAGCTCGCCGTTTCTCGCACATAGCGTTAGGGATCATAACGCGCGCGTACACGCAGAGACACACCCGTTGGCACTTAACGCTATCACACGTAGCCATTACATGGATGATTATTTAGACAGTTATGCCACGGTAGAGGAAGCGATAAATACGGCGAAGCAGGTTTCGGAAGTGCACCAGCAGGCCGGTTTCACCTTGGCAGGATGGAACTCCAACCACGCAGCCCTGTTAGAAGACAAGCCGGAGGACTTACTGGCGCGTAAGCCTAAAGAAGTAGGCTTAAGACAAGACAGCCCAGGCAGAACCTTAGGGTTATTATGGATGGCTGATGAAGACGTCCTAACATTCAACACGTCAATGAATAGGGTGCCGCAAGAAGTGAAGGCGCTACAGCGACCACCGACCAAGAGGGAAGCATTAAGCGCGGTCATGTCCGTTTTTGACCCGCTTGGACTGCTGAGTTACCTCACCATCACCGCCAAGATCCTGCTACAAGACCTATGGCGCATGACGAAGGTCGGATGGGACGACGAACTACCCGAGGAGGCAGCAGAGGAATTCCAGCGATGGCTGCGAGTCGTCGAGGAGGTATCACGACTACGACTGCCAAGGTGCTATGCTCCTACGGGGGGAGTTGTAGAGCGTCAACTTCACGTCTTCAATGATGCGAGCGAACGTGCGTACGCATCCGCGGCGTATTGGCGTATACGATATCGCGACGGAACGATTAGGGTGCGATTAGTGGCGGCTAAGGCGAAAGTCGCTCCAATTAAAGCGCAAAGTATACCGCGATTAGAGTTGCAGGCGAACTTAATAGGCGCGCGACTCGCGGAATTCGTGCAGGACGAACACAGAGTGGTAGCGGATAGGGTCGTATATTGGACGGACTCTACTACGGCGCTCCACTGGATACAAAACGATACGGCGCGTTACACTCCATACGTTGCTCACCGGTTAGGGGAGATAGCTGAGAAGACATCACCCAAGCAATGGAGGTGGATACCGACTGCGGAAAACGTAGCAGATCAGGCAACGCGGATGAATTTTACAACCAAGGAAGAGAGCGACAAGTGGTTTACAGGACCACCCTTCCTCTACGAGCGTGAAGACAGATGGCCTCACCGACAGGAAGAGAAGGCGGGGAATGATGAAGAGTTGGAGGAAATCGTGGCGCACCAGAGCGACACCCAGGAAGCTCCACACCTGCCAGACATAGAGAGATTCTCTGCCTACGAGAAGTTAATCAGGGCCACAGCAAGAGTACTACAATTCCTCGATGCGGCACGAGGAAGAGCACGAGGACTGACCTTACAGCACATCCAGAGAGCAGAACGGATGTGGATACAACACAGCCAGCAGGAAAGCTTCGCTGAAGACATCAGCCGCCTTCAGCGGGGAAGGAATTTGACCACCGGCAGCGCACTAAGGAAGCTCGACCCCATATTGGAGGATGGAGTGCTACGAGCCAGGGGAAGGATCGACGCAGCCGACGTGGACGGTCAAATGAAGAGACCCATTATCCTGAATGGACGTCACCAATTTGTGAAGCTGCTTGTGGAGAAGGCGCATCAGGAAGCAAGCCACGCCAATAGGGAGAGGGTGGTGAACGACCTGCGCACTAGGTATCATATCCTCCGATTACGACCTACAGTACGGGAAGCGGAGCGGAGATGCCTACGATGCAGAATACGGAAGGCGAGACCACGACCTGCGGTTACAGGAGACCTACCACCTGAACGGTTAGGGGCGTTTGCGCGACCATTTACGAACACTGGGATTGATTATTTCGGGTGTGTGTCGGGGGGCTGTGGTGAGAGGGGAGTCCGCAACCCTCTACCGCTGCAGCCGAGGTGGAGTCGCGGAGGAAGAGGAGTGTTGGTATGGCGATGCGCCACTCGCCCTATCCTCCGCGACTCAGACGGGGCCGCACCGTTGAATGATGCGGTGGTGGTGGGGCTGCGGGGGGAGAGGAGTGTCGGTATTGCGAGGCGCCGCTCTCCCTACCCTCCGCAGCCGAATCTTGGTTGGCGGCGGAGCCATAGACCAGATCCGCCGCTGGAGTCGGGAAGGCTGGTGCTTCTTAGTGCTAGTTTTTCCTGGCCCCATGGCCTTCGCGCATCGGACACGGGGGCGTCTGTTGCGCATATGAAATTGGAGGCCGAGGAGGAGGGCGCGCCATGTGTTCTGGTGCGCCTTACCGGAGAAGGAGATGGGGGAGGAGTGGTCCTCTCCCGAGGAGGGGCCGCGGAAGTGTGCGAAAGCGTTCCCGTGGCCCTGCCAATATGCGACGAGGGTGGAACACCATGGGGTTTTAGTCGGTGCGAGTCCGACATAACCCGTCCTTGCCCCCGCGAGGCGGGTATGCGTAGGCATTTCCCCATGTAAAAAAAAAAAAAAAAGGACGACGGCACGAAAAACGGTGGGTGGCACTGTTCACGTGCCTAACGACGCGCGCAGTACATCTAGAGATAGTCTATTCTCTGACCGCGGACTCGGCGATATCGGCATTGCGGCGCATGGCGGCTAGGCGTGGGTGGCCACGGGTTATCTATTCGGATAATGGGACTAATTTTCACGGGGCTGACACAGAATTACGACGGGCAATGGAAGAGTGGGCGCCACAGTTGAAGGATTACGCGCTGACTCGGCGCGTCGATTGGAAGTTCATCGCACCGGGCGCGCCTAACCAGGGAGGCGCATGGGAGCGTCTCGTGCGCTCAGTGAAGACCGCGCTCGAAGCCACTCTCCATCAGAAGAGCCCACGAGAAGAAACGCTGGCAACGCTTCTAACTGAAGCCGAAAATACTGTAAATTCTCGACCGTTGACGCACGTACCGGTCGACATCGACGATGAAGAGGCGCTGACACCCAACCACTTCCTACTGTTGGGACCATCGAGCCTGCCAGTCACCGCGCCGTGCACACCTATGGATCGTCGGGCGTGGAGAGCGGCGCAAGGACTCGCCGACGAATACTGGAGGCGCTGGGTGAAGGAGTACCTGCCGACGCTGGTCGCGCGCGGGGACTCCAGAGATGCTCGGCAGCGCCAAATACAGGAAGAGGACCTCGTCGTGGTTGCAGACGGCAACCTACCCAGGAACGTGTGGCCGCGGGGCATCGTAACGAAGACGTTTCCTGGACCAGACGGCGTGGTGCGAAACGTGGAGGTCCGGACCAAGGGAGGAGTGCTGCGGCGGCCCGTCAGGAAGATCGCCGTCCTCCCGAGAGAAGCTTAGGCTCGCAGGCTACGCCGGGGGGAGGATGTAGCGGACAGCGAGGAGGCCGCCGCCCCGTCGCCCCTTCACACCCCGGTGCGCCCCGCGCACCCCGCACACCGGCAGCAGATCACGCGATGTCGCCGACCAATGAGCGCGCGGCATCGCGGACGACGCTACGCACGACCCGAGACGCTCTCCGGCGAGATATAAGAAGGGCGTCTCGGACGGTGAGCTGTTCATTTCGGAAGCGGCACTCGACGAGAAGAAGACAGCAAGAGAAATCAAGAAAAGCAAGACTCAAGAAGACTCCCCTCTGTATAATAGTTTAATTAATAGTGCCACATTTTGTAAATAGTTAGAATACAGTATAGTTCGACAGTACCATCTTTTCTTTGAGCAGTTGCCCCCTAGCGTACCCCCCCCCCCCTCAATAATACAGTACACTGCGATCCATAACAGGATAGCATTATGCAAAAATGATACAACCCACGTTACAGCATTTTATAGTCCATTGTTGACCATAGGCCTCCCCCAAAGATTGCCCTCAGGGGGTATTTGGCATAGTTGTCACGCACGGCAGGGCACCACAGTTTATATTTAATCGTTATCAGGAAGACGCTGCTGCACATCTCCTGATTTGTTTCCCTCTGTCGTCTCTTACGACGATCACAAATTGGCCAAAATAATGGTCCAGTCTCATTTTCCACTTTATTTCTAAGTATGAAAGACTTTTGAAAAACAAGTAATACCAAACCCTACATTTTTTTTAAAATGATGTACATAACATGTTATAATAGGGCTTCTGTCCAGGATAATTAAAAATTAAAAATTTTGTGCAATCGACTTCAATATAAATTATTAAGAATAACTCAAAAACTAGTAGTTTCAGACCTTGATCAAATCTGTATGGAACCACATGAGAAGCACCAGCTTTCAAATAAAAATAGAATTATCCAAATCGGTTCACTTGGTAAAAAGTTATGGGGTAACACACATAAAAAAAACATACAGTTGAATTGAGTACCGTCTCCTTTTTGAAGTCGGTAGAAAATCTGACTAACTGACGTAACGTGATGGCTCCGTGGCACAGTCGCTTAGCAATGAGGCGCAGAGGGCCGCGGGTTTGAAGGAACAAGTACTTTTAATGGCCTACAAATAATCGTTCCGGGTTTGAATGTTGGTCCTTATGAAATTTGTGTATATAAACTGCCCCCCAAGATACAGGAGAAAATCCTAGTGTTGAGGTAACGTTATTAAAAACAGAAAAAAATTGTGGATTGAAGCATTTCTGCATAAATCCGTCCAAATATAGTTCGAAATCTTTGTTTTATTGAAATTCAAAATGAAAATGTCCGAGATTAGAATCAACTCACTCTTACCTTCTATCTCCAGCAGCTTGCAGGATACTACTGCCATCTCTACAGCAGACCAGCACCTGCCGGAAAGTGTATTCGCAGAAGGTCGGCCTTATCCCATTGAGTCTGTAATAAAAAAAAAACTAGCGGTAGGCAGTGTTGTTCACAATCATGCTGCAGCTATATAAGTAGTATAGTTGTAGCGCGAATGGGTCGGCTCGACCGGGGAAGGACCACGTTCTCACAGAATACCAGCGTATAATAGCAGCTTAACACTGCTGTGTTTCGTATGGTGAGTGTAGAGTACCGGAGACCCTTTTTACTGGAAAAGAGGCATTCCATCTTAGTCCTCAGAGGATAAATGTAGATGTCTATGGATCACAGCAACCACTTACCATCAGGTGGACTGGGTGCTCGTTTGTCACCCTATCCTATAAAAAAAAAGTAACTAGGTCAGAACTAAAACAACCTATATCTAAAGCTTTAACATTTCTCAAGCAACCATTTTTCTAAATAAACAAAATTTTTTTTAATAGAATAGGGGTGACAAAGGAACACACACACACACACACACGTGATGGTAAGTGGATGCTGTGGCCCATAGACATCTACATTTAACCTCGATTAAGAATCAAAATGCAGATGCATGTCAACCCTGAGGACTAAAATGGAACGCCTTGTTTCCTCCAGTAAAAAGGGTCTCCGATTCTCTACACTCACCATACGAAACACAGTAACATTGAGCTACTATTTCAAATTGGTGTTCTGTGGGAGCGTGATCCTTCCCCGGTCGATCCGACCTATTCGTGCTACAACCATAATATAGCTGCAGCGTGGAAACACAAAATAAATAAATAATAATTTATAACAAAATAAATAATAAGCACCAACAAACCGTGAACTCGCAAAATGTTGTAAACTCAGCTATTAATCGGTCAAGGACAACGTTCAGGGCAAAGGCAAATTCAAGGTCGCATGTGTTCAGATCGAATTTAACTTAGTCGTAATCTTTATATATAAAAATTACGTGTCACATTGTTTGTCCGCGATGAACTTCCTAAACTACTGAACTGATTTCAATGCAATTTGCACACACTGTGCAGTTTGGTCCAACTTGCGAGATAGGATAGTTTTATCCTAATAAGTGACACTCAATTTTTTTTTTATTACGAATTTAAGCATTTTTTAAACGAAGGGTCGTCAAAAAGGTCAGAACAACGTCTGCCTGGTCAGCTAGTTTACTTATATTTATACAGAATAAGTGTGACAAACGAGTACCCAGTTCACCTGATAGTAAATGGATCCTGTGGCTATAGACATCAGCGTCTATTCTGGATTAAGAATCAAAATGTAGATGCGTTGCCTTGAGAACTGAGATGGAATGCCTCGTAAAAAAGGTCTCTGGTTCTCTACACTCACCATACGAAACACGGCAGCATTGAGTTACTATTTTGCTCTGGTATTCCGTGAGACTTAAAAATATTCCTCAATACGAGTAGAATGTTAGGTTCAATGGATGCCAATTGTTTTAATCTCATATTATAGTATATTAGGGATGATTTACTATTTTTTATTTATTATAAATTCCAGGCAAATCAGTGCTGACCCGATACTGACATAGTGTAAATTGACTTCAATATTCCTGCTTGAATATTTTGAAGTCAGTCCACTCCCCTCGCCACCCGCGCCAGCGGTATTGACCTTGTCTTAAATGACCAAGTCAAGTCAGTACTTCGTCAGTCGTTAGCGCTGAATTATCGGGTGACGTCACGACAACAACAAAACAGAACCTCCCGTTTGATTTCTGTCGTCTATCCATTTTCTTATCCAAAGTCGTTTCTTTTTAAATATATTATATATATCCATTTTATATATTTATTTATATATACATTTCCGTCAACTCTTTCAAAAGCAGATAGGAAAATTTTCTCAGCAAATATTTCAAACGTCGTAAATTCTGCCGTATCCATGAATTAATTTTTGCCCACTGACTTCAACAACGTGCGTACACCCTCTAGAAGACTACTGACTGCATGTAAACAGTCCGAGTCAGTCCTCGGCGCCAGTACCTACTGGCGCCTGTTACTGAACCTGTGTAAATCTTCCTTTATACTAATGATAAGATTTTATACTTACAGTTTTATATTAGATTTTTTATTTATTGGCCCTGGCGCAGTGGCTTATCAATAAGTTTTGAATGTTGAAAAAAATAATAATAATAATTATATATTATTATTAGATAAGTCATCGCGCGCTCTGATAAGGGTATTAGTGTTCTGTGCTCTGACTAGATACCGCCGGCGACGTACCCAGACGTACCCGAGCCAGTCGCGCTCGCGTTATATTTATCTATGGTCGCGTTGCAGGCAACGTGTGAGGTGAACGTACGGAATGTTTTATTAAATTTTGATCATAATCCAAAGTAAAATACCAGTTTACGTATTGAAACTGTGTAAAAATAATACTATAAGAAAGACACTGGAATCACATACTATCATTAAGTATCATACAATTTCGAAATATTAACATAAAATAACACGAGCCATAAATAAGTCACAAAATATCAATGACGCTATTCAGTGTTGCCGCGAATGCAAAAATAAAGTTCCCCGTGGCTGAGATTTTTATATGTGAATTTATTGTTACTATATTTTATAATATAATATATTAAACTTATTATAATATAACCTAATTCTATATTATTTAATGTTTATTTCTGTAGTATTGCTCAAATGACATAATTGACATTTATTAGGGTTCCGTACCCAAAGAGTATCAACGGGACCCAAGTCTCCACTATCGTTCCGTCTGTCTGTCAGTAGGCTGTATCTTATGAACCGTAATATGTAGATACTTGGAATTTTCATAGAATGTGTATTTATATTGCTGCTATAACAACATAAAATAAAAAAGAAAACAAGTGAAATATTAAAGGACCCAAATAAATCACGTTTCTTGTATGAAGACCATACAAAAAACGTGATTTTTTTCTGTATTTGATATGTGTTTTGTTTACAGACTAAAGCGAAACCTGGATTAACACGAAATAAAATGATGCTGTGTGTATGGTGGTATTGAAAGATTATCATGAGCTTTTATCGCCGGGTAAAGGATGACTCACGCTAGACCGTGCCGGGTCCGAGCCGAGTGTCGGCCGTAGCACGGTCACCGAGCCGATCCCGTGCATGTTATTGCAACTGATCGGGCCTCGACCGAGCAAGTATCGTTGCGCCGTGATGCAGTATACTCGTCCGAGCAAAAATACTGTTGTAACTAGACTACAATCATGTTGAATTTTGACGATCTGGAATTAGCGGCTACTGAGATCACTCTGGACGATGAAGAATCTGATAAATCTTCTACTACAAGGAAATGGCCGAGCCGAGCCGAGTTGTTTCCGAGCGTTGTCTGTTGCCCGGCCGTCACTCGGTTGCCGCTCGGTATAGCGTGAGTGTGTCCATACAAAATATATGTAATATTAGTTGACCGTGCTATGGCCGACACTCGGCTCGCACCCGGCACGGTCTAGCGTGAGTCATCCTTAAAACCATCGATTCGGATCTCTACTACCAATAAATAACGAGAAAAGCAAGAAATAGAAAAAGAAACGTCTGGCATTGATAATCAGAAAAGGAGTGGTCTTTCATCATGATAACGCCAGATCACAAAATTAGTTATCTATTTGAGACTTTCACACTAACATTCCTAAGAATCCAGTATTTGCTTGAGTACTTAAAACTGGTTTAAAAGTTTTAGTCATTATTTTCTTTTGTTGCTTGTGTTCTTTAAAAGAAAGCTTTCTGGAGGTTTTAATATTTAAGTTTATATTTTTTTTTCCATTATAAATGGGATGACTAAATCCATGTTCCTTCAAATCTCTGGTATTGAATACATCAAATAAAACTACTTGTCGCATTTTTTTAATCAAAATCCCAAGATTTCTACAGCAACGTTTATTTTCTATTATGTCACTACCTACAAGATGGTAACAAATTATCGAACATAATGGACCCCATATATATTATAATTAAATGTAATAAAACTTTAAAACAAAAACGTCTTGAATTTGTATACAATATACGAAGAAACTTTTTCCCCGGTCTTATATACTAACTAAAGGTGTAACAAAATAGTACTTAATAACTTAGGGAATGATTCCTCCCGACATGAATATTTTTTATTATGGGATCATCTTCGAAATTTTCAATTTATACGTGATAGCACGAGGCATTCCATCTTATTCCTCAGGGGTTGCAACGCACCTGCATTTTGATTCTTAACCGAGGATAGATGTATATGTCTATGGGCCACAGCAACCACTTACAAATTACAATCAGGTGGACTGAGTGCTCGTTTGTCACCCTGATCTTATAAAAAATATCTCAATGTCAGTTATTCCATACAAAATTTCGTAAAAACTTGCTCAAAATGTTTTTTTTTATAGGAGAGGGGGCAAACGAGCATGCGGCTCACCTGATGGTAAGTGACACCGCCGCCCACGAACAACCGCAACATCAGGGGAATTGCAGATGCGTTGCTGGCCTTTTAAAAAGGAGTAGGCTCTTTTCTTGAAGGTCCCTAAGTCGTATCGGTCCGGAAAAATCGCTCGTGGTAAACTACTCCACAAGGAAGTTGTGTGAGGAAGAAAACATCTTCTAAATCGCACAGTGGTGGACCGTCAATCATCCAAATGGTGTGGATGGTATCGGGAGTTCTGCCGCGATGTGCGTTCGTGAAATTTGGCAGGTGGGATTAATCCAAACAATTCCTCAGAGCACTCCCCGTGGTAAATGCGAAAGAAAATGCAAAAGGATGCAACATCTCTTCGCAGCGTCAATGAGTCGAGCCGATCGGAAAGGACTCGGTCGTCGACGATTCGAACCTCTCTGCGCTGGATGCGGTCAAGTGAAAGGAGCTGGCACTGGGGAGCCCCGGCCCAGTGATGGGAACAGTATTCCATGTGAGGCCGAACCTGCGCCTTGTAAAGTTGCAGGCGTTGAGCCGGCATGAAATACTGTCCCGCTCTGCTGAGCACGCCAAGCTTTTTAGAGGCCAATTTGGCCTTCTCTTCCAAATGACCACGAAACTGCACGTCATTCGATATGTCGACGCCGAGGATTCCGATACTGGCTGAGGCAACAAGGGGAGTACCTTGAAACTGAGGAGATACGACCCCCAATCCGAGACTTTGTCCAGCAAAGACTCGACTTCAGACACAAGTTTGTTCCGGTACTCGGTGACGTTTTCCCGAGAAATATTGGCACGGGCGGTGTATAGAGCATCACCAGTGCTGTCATCCGCATAGCAATGAATGCTACCGGCTTGCAACATATCATTGATATCCAGAAGAAAACAGCGTTGGTGATAGCACGCAGCCTTGTGGAACGCCAGCGTTAATAGGCTTGTAGTCGGAGCATGCACCGTCTACAACGACCTTGATGCTCTGATCTGCAAGGAAGCTGGTGATCCAATTGCATAATTTCTCGGGAAGCCCATAGGAAGGGAGCTTCGAAAGAAGCGCTTTGTGCCAAATCCGATGGAAGGCCTTCGCAATGTCCAAACTAACGGCCAATGCCTCCCCCTTGGACCTGATTTTTCTTGCGATTTGGAAGATAGATCTATAGTAAAAGTTGTTCATATTGACGCGTAGAATAGAAAGCCCTATTTTGATTACACCATATAACTGTTTTTTTAAAATAATTTGTGAATATTAGTTGCGAGCATGACATGACAAATGCTGAGCGGAAACCTGTTTTGGCACAGTATTGGTGTATATATATAATTTAATGTTAACCATTTGTATATGCATGCAATGCTGTGTCAATAAAGTTTATTTTCTTTCTTTCTTCTTCTTCTTCTACTGGGAATTTCTTGACGGAACCCAAAACTAATTTTAGCCCGACCCGGAATTCGAACCTGGCAACAGCAGCCGTGTTCAAACCCTGGACCCACGAGGTAATCAAAGGCAATACTTACTGAAAGTCATCTTCAGCCGCTTTACATTGCTCTGGGCGAGTGCACTGCCCGACTATGTTGGTATGCTCCTCCACGCAGCTGTCGCCCTCTGTTAATCAAAATGTTATGGAATACGAGAATCCGGACCGCGTTTAGTCTATACGTTCGCATTCCACTATTTTCTCCCTGGATAAGCACACAAGAGCAAAGTATTTCTTTCCGATTACAATGTAAGCGTTTTTTTATAGGATAATGGTGACAAACGAGCACACAGTCCACCTGATGGTAAGTGGTTGCTGCGGCCCATAGACATCTACATCTTTTCTCGATTACGGATCAAAATGCAGATGCGTTGTCACGCGTGAGGACTAAGATGTAATGCCTCATTTCCAGTAAAAAGGGTTTCCGGTTCTCTACACTCACCATACGAAACACAGCAGCGTTAAGCTGATATTTTACGTTGGTATTCTGTGAGAGCGTGGTCTTTCCCCGGTCGAGCCGACCCATTCGTGCTACAACTATACCAGTAATATAGCTGCAGCATGGCTCTACCACATAAAAAAAGCGTTTTCAAGGCAAGAGTGAATAGGCTTTTGTTACGCTAAAATAGTGCGATTTACAATCTAGGGTTTCATCGTTACTTACTACCAGATAGGATTGTAGTTAAGCACTCGAATAATGGCGTGGCAATTATAGAAAAAACTCGCCGTGTAGTAGCGGTTAAAAATATCCACTACCCCATATCTTCCCGTGGGTGTCGTAAAAGGCGACAAAGGAAACAAGCAGGGGATGGGCAGCAGCATCTTCCTGATAACAACAAACTTACAATAAAAACTGCGGTTGCCAACCCGCTCGCCAAGCGTGGCAACTAAGGCAAATGATGAGATGTACCTATGATGAGAGTAACAAATAAACGGCCCCCAGTCCCCGGCGGCCCTGCTATTCCTGGCTACGGTGGCGACCATGGTAACGGCGGGGCAGGGGGTGCTAAGAATCTCCGGTGGAGGTTCGGTTGCCACCTAAGACGACTCGACCTGGCAACATACAACGCACGCACCCTGAGGACTGACGAGAAGATCGTGGAGCTGGAAGAAGAGATAGACAAGTTACGCTGGCATATTATAGGATTATCCAAAGTCCGAAGAGAGGGGAAGGACACGGTAATCCTCGAATCCGGCAACTTGCTCTATCACCGGGAGGGCGACCATCTGTCCCAAGGAGGTGTCTGATTTATCGTCCACAAGTCTCTCGTTAACAACGTTGTAAAGATTGAGAGTGTGTCGACGAGGGTTGCGTACCTTATACTCAGAATCACCAAACGGTATTCGCTGAAGGTCATACAGGTTTACGCACCAACCTCGGCACACCCCGATGAGGAAGTGGAGAAAACGTATGAGGATATCTCTAGAGCCATGCATTCCTCCAAAACCCAATATACGGTGTTAATGGGAGACTTCAATGCAAAACTAGGCACAAGAGAGAACGGTGAGCTGAAAGTAGGGAAATTTTGAATAGGGCAACGGAACCCAAGGGGCCAGCAGCTGGCCGACTTCATGGAGAAAGAGAGACTCTTTTTGATGAACTCTGTCTTCCAGAAGCGGCCCCACAGGAAGTGGACCTGGTCGAGCCCCGGCGGTTCCACAAAAATTGAGATTGACTTCATTATGACGACCAGACGACAACTGTTCAGTGCTGTCTCCGTGATCGCGAGGGTGAAAACTGGTAGCGATCACCGAATGGTTAGAGGCACACTGAACCTAAAGGTTAAGTTGGAAAGGTCTCGTCTAACGAAGTCAATGCTCCGTCCCCCTCCTGCTCTGTTCCAGAGTCCCGAAACCTTTCAGCTAGAGTTACAAAACCGTTTTCAGTGCTTAGAAGACTGCAATGAAATGGACGATATGAATGACAAGCTCGTGGAAACTGTCCATGCAGTCGGAGCTAAGTTCTGCAAGACCCGCCGCAGAAGAACACAAAAACTCTCCGATCACACTCTCAATCTCATGGCTGTTGACGGGAGATGAAGCTACATTCTTCTACAGATTTGACAGCATACAGGCAACTGAACAGACAGATCTCCAAATGCATGCGGCGGGACTTACGCAACTTCAATACAGCTTGTATTGAAGAAGCGATCGAGCGGAACCAAGGCTCCAAAGTCTTTGCCAGAGATCTGTCTGCCAGAAAGAGCCAACTGTCAAAGCTGAACATAGGCCTCGCCCAAGGAATGCCACAAAGCACGGTCCTGAGCCACCTGCATCCATCGACTTCCTGCATGTCTTACCAGGTCGTCACTCCATCTCGTGGGGGGTCGCCCTACACTTCACCTACCGGTACGAGGCTGCCACTCAAGAACCTTTCTTCCCGTTCGGTTGTCGGTTCTTCGAGCTATATGGCCGGCCCACTGCCACTTCAGCTTACTAATCCGTTGGCCTATGTCGGTTACTCTGGTTCTACTGCGGATATCCTCATTCCTAAGTTTATTACGCAGAGAAACTCCGAGCATAGCCCTCTCCATAGCTCGCTGACCGACCTTGAGCTTCCTCATACGGCCAGCAGTAAAGGACCACGTCTCAGATCCGTAAGTCATCACTGGCAACACGCACTGGTTGTATAATTTCGTTTTAAGGTTTTGAGGTATGTCTGACGAGAAGATGTATAGTAGTTTCCCGAACGCTGCCCAGCCCATTTGAATCCGTCGATTGACCTCTCGGTCGAAGTTGGACTTACCTAGTCGAACTATTTGGCCTAAACATACTTGTCAACAACTTCGAGCTTAGTGCTCCCAACAACTACCGGCATAGGTGTGACATGGACATTAAACATGATCTTTGTTTTGTCCATGTTCATCCTAAGACCTATTTGTTGGGAGACACTATTGAGGTCATTGAGCATAGTGCTTAGATCCTCCAGCGATTCTGCCATAAGGATTATATCATCGGCAAATAGAAGGTGAGTGATGTACTCGCCATTGATGTTCATACCGTATCCTTTCCAGTCCAGAAGCTTGCTTATCTTCGGAATAGTATCGGATAAGACTCGCTCTTGGATCGTTACTCACACTTGCGTGTGGCTCCAACGATGACGTGTACAGCTGTCCATAGAACGTCTCAATCTCACTCAAAATCTCAGGTGCCCCGGAAACGATGCTGCCACACTCGGTCTTCAGCTTTGACAGTTGGCTCTTTCTGGCAGACAGATCTCAGGCAAAGACTTTAGAGCCTTGGTTCCGCTCGATCGCTTCTTCAATACAAGCTGTATTGAAGTTGCGTAAGTCCCGCCGCATGCATTTGGAGATCTGTCTGTTCAGTTGCCTGTATGCTGTCAAATCTGTAGAAGAATGTAGCTTCATCTCCCGTCAACAGCCATGAGATTGAGAGTGTGATCGGAGAGTTTTTGTGTTCTTCTGCGGCGGGTCTTGCAGAACTTAGCTCCGACTGCATGGACAGTTTCCACGAGCTTGTCATTCATATCGTCCACTTCATTGCAGTCTTCTAGGCACTGAAAACGGTTTTGTAACTCTAGCTGAAAGGTTTCGGGACTCTGGAACAGAGCAGGAGGGGGACGGAGCATTGACTTCGTTAGACGAGACCTTTCCAACTTAACCTTTAGGTTCAGTGTGCCTCTAACCATTCGGTGATCGCTACCAGTTTTCACCCTCGCGATCACGGAGACAGCACTGAACAGTTGTCGTCTGGTCGTCATAATGAAGTCAATCTCAATTTTTGTGGAACCGCCGGGGCTCGACCAGGTCCACTTCCTGTGGGGCCGCATCTGGAAGACAGAGTTCATCAAAAAGAGTCTCTCTTTCTCCATGAAGTCGGCCAGCTGCTGGCCCCTTGGGTTCCGTTGCCCTATTCAAAATTTCCCTACTTTCAGCTCACCGTTCTCTCTTGTGCCTAGTTTTGCATTGAAGTCTCCCATTAACACCGTATATTGGGTTTTGGAGGAATGCATGGCTCTAGAGATATCCTCATACGTTTTCTCCACTTCCTCATCGGGGTGTGCCGAGGTTGGTGCGTAAACCTGTATGACCTTCAGCGAATACCGTTTGGTGATTCTGAGTATAAGGTACGCAACCCTCGTCGACACACTCTCAATCTTTACAACGTTGTTAACGAGAGACTTATGGACGATAAATCAGACACCTCCTTGGGACAGATGGTCGCCCTCCCGGTGATAGAGCAAGTTGCCGGATTCGAGGATTACCGTGTCCTTCCCCTCTCTTCGGACTTTGGATAATCCTATAATATGCCAGCGTAACTTGTCTATCTCTTCTTCCAGCTCCACGATCTTCTCGTCAGTCCTCAGGGTGCGTGCGTTGTATGTTGCCAGGTCGAGTCGTCTTAGGTGGCAACCGAACCTCCACCAGAGATTCTTAGCACCCCCTGCCTGGCCGTTACCATGGTCGCCACCGTAGCTAGGAATAGCGGGGCCGCCGGGGACATGGGGCCGTTTCTTTGTTACTCTCATCATAGGGGGGTATGTGCCATAGTTGCCACGCTGGGCGAGCGGGTTGGCTACCCCAGTTTTTTATTAAGACCGAGATATATATATATATATAGTTAATAAGACCGTGTGTGGCAGCATCATTTCCGGGGCACCTGAGATTTTGAGTGAGATTGAGAGGTTCTATGGGCAGCTGTACACGTCATCGTTGGAGCCGCACGCAAGTGTGAGTAACGATCCAAGAGCGAGTCTTATCCGACATTATTCCGATGATATCCCGGACGTCAGTCTGAGCGAGATTAGAATGGCTCTCCAGCACCTTAAAAACGGCAAGGCCCCAGGCGAGGATGGAATTACAGCGGAGCTTCTGAAAGCGGGTGGAAAACCGGTACTTGAAGTCCTTCAGAAGCTCTTTAATTCCGTCCTCGATGGTGGCATTACACCGGAGGCATGGAGCAGAAGTGCGGTGGTCTTGTTCTTCAAGAAAGGCGACAACGCTCTCTTGAAGATTTCCCTTCTGAGCCGCGTCTACGTGCTGTTTTCGAGAGTCATTACGAATCGTCTTGCGCGCAGACTTGACGACTTCCAGCCTCCCGAACAAGCCGGTTTCCAAAAAGGCTTTAGCACCATAGACCACATACATACCCTTCGGCAAATTGTACAGAAGTCCGAGGAGTACAATTTGCCACTATGCCTGGCGTATGTGGACTATGAGAAATGCTTTGATTTCGTCGAAATTTGGGCGGTGCTGCAGTCCCTTCAGCGATGCCAAGTTGACTGTCGGTATATTAAAGTGCTGAAGTGTTTGTATAGTAGAGCTACGATGGCTATCCGAGTACAGAACCAGAGTACGAAACCTATCCAATTGCAGAGAGGTGTAAGACAGGGTGATGATATATCCCCGAAACTCTTCACCGCTGCATTGGAAGACGTTTTCAAGCAAGTACATCACTCACCTTCGATTTGCCGATGATACAGTCCTTATGGCAGAATTGCTGGAGGACCTAAGCACTATGCTCAATGACCTCAATAGTGTCTCCCAACGAATAGGTCTTAGGATGAACATGGACAAAACAAAGATCATGTTTAATGTCCATGTCACACCTATGCCGGTAGTTGTTGCTAGCACTAAGCTCGAAGTTGTTGACGAATATGATTACCTGGGACAAATAGTCCGACTAGGTAAGTCCAACTTCGACCGAGAGGTCAATCGACGGATTCAACTCGGCTGGGCAGCGTTCGGGAAGCTACGACACATCTTCTCGTCAGACATACCTCAAAACCTTAAAAAGAAATTGTACAACCAATGCGTGTTGCCAGTGATGACTTACGGAACTGAGACGTGGTCCTTCACTGCTGGCCGTATGAGAAAGCTCAAGGTCGCTCAGCGAGCTATGGAGAGAGCTATGCTCGGAGTTTCTCTGCGTGATAAACTTAGGAATGAGAATATCCGCAGTAGAACCAGAGTAACCGACATAGCCCAACGGATTAGTAAGCTGAAGTGGCAGTGGGCCGGCCATATAGCTCGAAGAACCGACGACCGTTGGGGAAGAAAAGTTCTTGAGTGGCAGCCTCGTACCGGTAGGCGAAGTGTAGGGCGACCCCCCACGAGATGGAGTAACGACCTGGTAAGGCATGCAGGAAGTCGATGGATGCAGGTGGCTCAGGACCGTGCTTTGTGGCATTCCTGGGGGGGGGCCTATGTTCAGCAGTGGACTTGTGAAGGGCTGTAATGATGATGATGATGAGGCAGAGTCAAAAGAGCATCGAATAACATCTGTGCCATGTTGGTTTTCAATATTTATACGCGTTTATTTAGCTCTATAAAAAGGGTTATTATAATATAAATTAATGCATGTTTGATAATAATCCCTGGGAATAAGGTGGTCGCTTCCAAGCTGTTTCTAAAATAAATTTTGTAAACAGTTTGTAATCATTTGTATATTAAAATTTATTTAAAAAAAAGTCCCGCTGAGTTTCTTACTGGTTCTTACCAGGACTGAGGATTTTTTTCGAACCAGTGGTAAAAATAAAAAATAGCTTTCAATAAGAATTACTTGTAATCAATATTGAATAAAAAAATATCCTATCCTATATTTATGTAAGACTTAACAAAGAGAATATACCAAATGTGTTGCTTGCATTTCATTCATTTTTTAATTACAGCCTATTAAAAATCCACTACTGAACATAGGCCCCCCCCCAAAGATTGCTTTGCAAGTTACTTGCCATAGTTGGCACGTTTGGCAGGTGAATTTAAAATATCGTAAGAGGCAATTAATGGTAAGTATATTGTGTTTAACTCAGGTCTCAGTCCTCAGGGATGACAACGTTTTGCATTTTGATTGTTAATCGGGGGGTAGATGTCAAAGGGTTTTTGGGTTGTAGCACGAATGGGTCGGCGCGACTGGGGTAGGACCACACTCTCACAGAATACCAGCGCAAAATAGCAGTTCAACACTGCTGTGTTTCGTATGGTGAGTGTAGAGAACCGGAGACCCTTTTTACTGGAAACAAAGCATTACATCTTAGTCCTCAGGGGTGACAACGCACCTGCATTTTGATTCTTTATTGAGGATAAATGTAGATGTCTATGGGCCGCAGCAACCACTTACCATCAGGTGGAATATTGCTCGTTTGTCTCCCTTATTCTATTAAAAAAAAACTAGACCGACTATATCGAGTACAGTCACAGCTGCGAAACATCTGGTACCGCGATCGCCAATCTATCAAACTTGGCGATTAAGTCAGTTTCTCCCAATGGAACGGGCCCAAAGAATTTTAAAGGCTAACGTCGCTCTGAATACTGACCATTCTTCTGTGCTGTCACATCTTGAACGACCAGCAACAGGAACGCGGTAAAAGTAACCTGCATCTTTATAACGTAGATCGTAAGATTATTTCTCGACCGTTTGTCCAAACATCACATTATTGCTCTGAAACAAAAACAATTGAAATGCGTTTCTAGAGATATAAAAATGCCTGAATAGAATCAGGCGTTATTTGCGGAAATCCAATAAGACACAAACCTAATTAGCATCATATCTGTTATCTCCAAGGGGGTAGGCAGAGACCATGAGAGAGATGCTCGAAAAACCTTTAGCCAAAAAATATAGGTTTAGATGGAAAATTGTTACCATTACCATCATATTTGGATATTTGCCATAATTGCCAAGCTTGGCAAGCGGGTTGGCCACTACAGTTTTTTTTTATTTTCATCGTTATTAGGAAGCCGCTGCTGCCCATCTTCTGACTTGTGGCCCTCGGTCGCGTCTGACTGGGTGGAAGCGAAAGAAGGTCAGCTTCCACCCAGTCGCTCCAGCGATATTTGTGTGGACCAACTTTGTACGTCAGCTAATCGGTCGATCAAAATATGCTCTCTCTATACTTCTATCTTCTCCCATCCGTTATACGTGAACGAGTCATCGGAAGCGATGAGCTTTTAATCCTCCAACGAAGTTCGGCTCGGCTATGAGCTTTTCTATATTGGAGTTTTTCCGAACCCTCCAACTGTCATCTTCCCTTCGATCTAAGATGCTATAAGATAATATTTTTTTCACAGGTAAATAAGTGACTGCTTCACACTTCACACGCGGTAGAACCACGCTGCAGCTATATTGTGATTGTAGCACGAACGGGTCGGCTCGGCCGGAGTAGGACCACGCTCTCACATACCATCATCATCATCATCATCATCATTACAGCCCTTCACAAGTCCACTGCTGAACATAGGCCTCCCCCAAAGAATGCCACAAAACACGGTCCTGAGCCACCTGCATCCATCGACTTCCTGCATATCTTACCAGGTCGTCACTCCATCTCGTGGGGGGACGCCCTACACTTCGCCTGCCGGTACGAGGCTGCCACTCGAGAACCTTTCTTCCCCATCGGTTGTCGGTTCTTCGAGCTATATGGCCGGCCCATTGCCACTTCAGCTTACTAATCCGTTGGGCTATGTCGGTCACTCTGGTTCTACTGCGGATATCCTCATTCCTAAGTTTATCACGCAGAGAAACTCCGAGCATAGCCCTCTCCATAGCTCGCTGAGCGACCTTGAGCTTCCTCATACGGCCAGCAGTGAAGGACCACGTCTCAGTTCCGTAAGTCATCACTGGCAACACGCACTGGTTGTACAATTTCGTTTTAAGGTTTTGAGGTATGTCTGACGAGAAGATGTGTCGTAGCTTCCCGAACGCTGCCCAGCCGAGTTGAATCCGTCGATTGACCTCTCGGTCGAAGTTGGACTTACCCAGTCGGACTATTTGTCCCAGGTAAACATACTCGTCAACAACTTCGAGCTTAGTGCTCCCAACAACTACCGGCATAGGTGTGACATGGACATTAAACATGATCTTTGTTTTGTCCATGTTCATCTTAAGACCTATACGTTGGGAAACACTATTGAGGTCATTGAGCATAGTGCTTAGGTCCTCCAGCGATTCTGCCATAAGGACTATATCGTCGGCAAATCGAAGGTGAGTGATGTACTCGCCATTGATGTTGATACCGTATCCTTTCCAGTCCAGAAGCTTGAAAACGTCTTCCAATGCAGCGGTGAAGAGTTTCGGGGATATGACGTCACCCTGTCTTACACCTCTCTGCAATTGGATAGGTTTCGTACTCTGGTTCTGTACTCGGATAGCCATCGTAGCCCTACTGTACAAGCACTTCAACACTTCGATATACCGACAGTCAACTTGGCACCGCTGAAGGGACTGCAGCACCGCCCAAATTTCGACGGAATCAAAGGCTTTCTCATAGTCCACATACGCCAGACATAGTGGCAAATTGTACTCTTCGGACTTCTGTACAACTTGCCGAAGGGTATGTATGTGGTCTATGGTGCTAAAGCCCTTTCGGAAACCGGCTTGTTCGGGAGGCTGGAAGTCGTCAAGTCTGTGCGCGAGACGATTCGTAATGACTCTTGAAAACAGCACGTAGACGCGGCTCAGAAGGGAAATCGGTCTGTAGTTCTTCAAGAGAGCGTTGTCACCTTTCTTGAAGAACAAGACCACCGCACTTCTGCTCCACGCCTCCGGTGTAATGCCACCATGGAGGACGGAATTAAAGAGCTTCTGAAGGACTTCAAGTACCGGTCTTCCACCCGCTTTCAGAAGCTCCGCTGTAATTCCATCCTCGCCTGGGGCCTTACCGTTTTTAAGGTGCTGGAGAGCCATCCTAATCTCGCTCAGACTGACATCCGGGATATCTTCGGAATAGTGTCGGATGAGACTCGCTCTTGGATCGTTACTCACACTTGCGTGTGGCTCCAACGATGATGTGTACAGCTGCCCATAGAACCTCTCAATCTCACTCAAAATCTCAGGTGTTCCGGAAACGATGCTGCCACATTCTGTCTTCAGCTTTGACAGTTGGCTCTTTCTGGCAGACAGATCTCTGGCAAAGACTTTGGAGCCTTGGTTCCGCTCGATCGCTTCTTCAATACGAGCCACCATACCATCATACCAGCGTAAAATATCAGCTTGATGCTGCTGTGTTTCCTATGGTGAGTGTAGAGAAGCGTAGACCCCTTTTACATTGGAAACGAGGTATTCCATCTCAGTCCTCAGGGGTGACAACGCATCTGCATTTTGATTGTTAATTGAGGATAAATGTAGATGTAGTATGGTCCACAGCAACCACTTACCATCAGGTGGACTGTGTGCTCGTTTGTCGCCCTTATCCTATAAAATTAATATGGACCGATCTCTAGTTTTGATTTGATATTTAATAAATTATGGCAGCATCAGTGTGATTGTATTAAGTTGTTATCATGAAGATGCTACTGTCCATCTCCGGTTAATATTTTATTATATTGCTTATTTATAATTGCAATATAACCTTTACATATAAAAATTACGTGTCACATTATTTGTCCGCGATAAACTTCTAAACTACTGAACTAATTGCAATGAAATTTTGTATATGTGTATTCCTTGCTCCAACTTGAGAGATAGGATAGTTTTTATCGCGATAAGTGCTACTCAATATTTTTAATTACGAATTTAAGTATTTATAAAGGACCAAGGATCGACGGTAAGGGCAGAACAAAGTCTGCCTGGTAAGTACATCAAGTGTAAGATTATTGTTTTGAACTGTACTACCATACGGAGCGTTGGTCGTTCCCCGGGGAGATCACCTTGCTCAGCGGGAGATCTCCCCTTATCCTACCTCGGTCAAATATTTATTAACATTATATAGTAACAATTTTTATGCTGTTCTTGCTTAAAATTATTTAAATAGAGAGCCTTTGTATATTTAGTGGGACTTTGTTGTAATAGCGTATACATTGCCTCATGAATGAATTACTGGAGGAGTGGAGTCAAGAAAATGATTTACCATATAGATAAACTTAAATTATATATTTATAACATTTCAACGTGATAGCGTCACACTGCATCTATATTATGGTTGTGGCACGAATGGGTCGGCTCGACCGGGGAAGGACCACGCTCTCACAGAATACCAGCGTAAAATAGCAGCTTAATGCTGCTGTGTTTCGTATGGTAAGTGTACAGAACCGGAGACCCTTTTTACTGGACGAGGCGTTCCATCGTAGTCCTTCAGGGGTGACAACGCATCTGCATTTTCATTCTTAATCGAAGATAAATATAGATGTCCATGGGCTACAGCATCCACTTACCATCAGGTGGACTGTATGTGACAAACGAGTCACGCACATTATAATTTAAAAAAAAAAAAACATAATCTTTGTTGGTGTGCAAACGTCTCGTTCGTCGACAGTACTGCTATATCACGCTTGTGTGGTTATTTACACCAGACAATGCAGTTCTATTAAAAACAATTACTTCGCCGTTACGAAGTATTCTAATGTAAAAACAAAACCGGTTTGAAGTAGCAAGGACAACGGAGTCAAATCCAGAGACCTCTGTATTGTTGATCGTTTGTAAGTGAAACGTTTAAATTATATATTTTGTGCCAACATAAAAAGGAGAGGTTCTAAATTCGTTGAAATATTTTTATGCAATCTTGTACCAGCGCACTGCACTAAGTCTACTATACAATACATGCGGTTTTTTTTCCGCCCAGAAGCAATGAAAAGGGCTACCCTCCGGGAAGCGAGGAAGCGAGGTGGTGAATGCTCTAAGCATACCACGCAGTCGGCTGTGTGGGACTCACCGCGAAACCTAAGTGCCTATCCACTTAACACTACCTGTGAGACGGGCATTGGCTTGTGTGGCCTTTCTGCCGAATCGGAAGCGACCCACATTTGAGAAAAAGGCGCGAGGGTAATACATGCGGTTGACGCGAGCGTATTTTACAGTACTTATTTAACTTTTTTTTTATATAAGTGGGGGCTAGCGTGCATGCGGCTCACCTGATGGTAAGTGTATAAACAACTATACTATAAACAACTGCAACACCAGGGGAATTACAGGTGCGGTGCCGGCGTTTTAGAAAGGAGTTCGCTCTTTTCTTGAAGGTCCCTAAGTCGTATCGGTCCGGAAAAGTTGCCGGTTGCAAACTATTCCACAAAGAGAGAGATGAAAACTCCTAGTAAAACGCACAATGATGGACCGCCACGTATCCAGATGGTGTGGATGGTATCGTGAGTTTTGTCGCAATGTGCCTTCGTGAAATTTGGCGGCTGGGTTTAATCCGAACAATTCCTCAGAGCACTTCCCGTGGTAGATGCGATATATTAATAGTAACAACACATTTATTCCCAAGGAATATGTATAAAGATGTTTGTATAAAATAATAAAGTATCACATATTTCACAAAATTTGATGTTTGAAATCTTTTGGTTTAGTTAAAGTCCTCCAGATAGAATTTCGGTCACGGCGGCCAGCATCAACAGAGACTAGCCAACGGCTCAGGACAGGATTATAGTGCCCAAGTGTGTGCGCGAGC